AGCCCGGGTCTCGGGTCAGGTAAAGGGAGTTGCAGGTTTAACGGGAGATAGAGCAGCACGCTCTAGGACACGAGTCTTGTCTAGAAAGCTCCCGGGCTATAACAGCAAAAAGCGCAGGGGTGAAACGTAACAGCATCCGCAATCCTTGTGAGGAGATTAAGTGCCCTCAGGAGTCCACCCGGCTTGCAGGGGGGCGGGAGGCAGGCGTTGCACAAGAGCGGGCTGTGCCTCCGAGAAGCACCAGCCCTGCATCCTCAGCGCGCCAGCTTCAAAAGGAAAAAAGTGACTTGCGCTGGTTTTGGGAAGCTTCTCAGCCACGGTCGTCTCTGCTCTGAGTGAGATCCGCTGTGGGCAGGATTTAAGATAAACTCTCCCTGCCTTTTGGTATCTCCACGGTGAATAGCCCCAGGTTGCTAGCTCTGTGCAGGCTTCGTAATTTACTCATATGGTCTTTTTATCTGTAACAGGTTCTCCTACTAAAGCCTTTACACATTTTGTCTGGAAGCTGGATTGTAAGTCAAATACCGACTTGGCTGATGTTTGTCTAAATCACATATCTTAACATGCAATCACAAAACGGAGACTCAGACAAAGGCCTTGGAGGGGAGGTTACTGCCCAAGAGGTGTTGGGAGAGTCTGTGAACGACACCAGAAATGAAGCTACCCAAACAGAAAATGAAGGCAATTCTGTCAACACAGGTGAGCCCTTCCAGCTGGCTCGCTAGGATGAATTTAGGGAACTTTAATGAATGTAAAGCCTAGAAATCAAGTTGTCATTACTCATCTGGATGCAATATGAGTTTATTCTTTCCCCCACTGGAGGCACTGAAAATCTTGCCATAACTGAGGCTTACTCAATTGCTATCTTATTGTTCTTCCTTTTTTTTTCTGTGTCTTTAATTTTCTTCTACCTGGAGAGACACCTTTTGCTGTGCTGCAATCATACAGCTAGCCTGACCTCTAAATTTTTTAATTACAATCATATTCAAATGGGCTGGTACAATCATCTTATTTGCACTGTCTGTTTTTAAGTGTCGGGAATACAAGTGCAACCAGAAGGTGCAGAGCAGGAATCTGAAGAGAAGAGTATTGAAAATGCAATTAATCAAAGGCAGTCTAAAGACAGCTTGAATGAGTATAGCACTGGAGACACCTTCCAAAGTGTACAAAAGGGTAAGTTTGTAGAAGAGCTAGACTAACAAATGGTGCTTGAGATGACTCAGATATGCCATCACTGTAGTCTCTTTATGTGGAAAGTTAGCAGTCTTGTTAAACTCACATTATTGTTAACTAAATGTAATATATAGTAGATGTCTAAGACCATAAGAATATTGGTGCCAATATGTTATATTGTCACTGTACATTATAATAGTTTTCTTAAGACTAGTGGGTACTACCTGACTTCCAGATCTAAACAAAAAAAAAAAAAAGGAAATTTCAACAATTTATTTTCTTACTATCTATTTTACTAGTTTGCCTTCTAAAAAAGTTAACTTTCCTTCCATTAAAAATGTCAGCAAAAATCTTGTTTAGCACACTTCTTTTCTTGATATTCATATTCAAGTGCTCTTCAATATATCTCTAAACTAAGTGTCAACATGATACTTTTCCCCACTCATGCTGTTAAACTGCAACTTGTTTTCTTACAAAGATGTTAAAACTCAAGAGAAAGCCATCAACTGTATGTCCAGAGCAGATCAACAGAATGAACAAAAATCAGATGGCGATCACAAATCAGTAACCAGCTCATTCAGTCAAAGAACAGAAGAAAAGAGGGGCTGTGTAAGGTAATACGTTGTTTGTGGATGTTTTTTATTTAAATCTTCCATCATTGAAGTAAATGGGAGCTTTGCTATTCTACAAATTAATTCAGGAGAACAATTTTGAAGACTAATTTGAGATTAATCGATAAATCAGGAATTGTTGATATTTCCAGCATCTGTATGGCTTTTTTATGGCCGCAGTAGCAAACTACATTCTAACTACATGATGAGGTCTATTTAATGGATCTGGAGAAAATTGTGCAAACTCTTGTGGGAGTCATTTGTGAGTAGATTTGACCATTTCTAAGCATCAATTCAGACAATACATTGTATTAATTCATCACAATGTAAGTATTACAGTTTTCAAGATAATTTTTAGCAGAGGAAATCCAGAGGTACCTCAGATGATTGACAATAAGATACAACTCCTTTGTAAGCTCTGGCTCTAATTTTGGTCCAGTCTAAACCAGCATACGCTGCGATGGCTGTTCATTAATAGTTGTGAAATGGGATTATTCTCGTGTTATCTCTGATTAAGCACATAATAATAATATGTGCATAATAAAAATATTGCAAGCAAATAATAAAATTAAAACCCATATTTGGTACTATTTAATAACATTATTGAAAGTCTGGTCACGTGGGCTAGTTATGGAGTGATATATAAGGAGCAGTGAAGATTTACCCTCTGTTCCTGTACCTGCTTACATGCTGAAACTTCCCAAAGTTTATGTTGCTGCAAACTTTAACACAGCTGTTCTATTAGAGACAGTTACAGTCCTTTAAAGTCAAGGAAAAGCCTCTCACTGAGTTATCAGGAGGTAGACTGGACTGTACTTACATAGAAAACTTCATTATCCTGAGTAATCAGCCTGGCACACTTCAGAATTAAGTTCTTATGAAGAATGATGGCGGAGAGCAACAACTGTACATAAGATAATTAGTGTTTTGAAGGAACACATTTTATGATCCTATAAATTGCCTGAGGATGCTAATAATTTGATTAAATGCTACTACAAATAGCATAATAAAAACCAGTGGGATATACTGCAAGTAGCTAGCATACAATAATGTACCTGGGCTGACAATACAAGAAAACAGTATATATTTAAAGGTTTTGCTTGAAGTTTATAAACCTTTCATTCCTTCAGAGATTTAGGTCAGGCACGTTTGGCTTACAGGGCAGTTACAGGCTGACGATCATATTTTATATTGCCCCAGGAACTCAGTTGACTAGTTGACTGTATTACAGTTTTGTTCTTCAGCAATATTGAGATTTTTAGTGTAGTGAGTAAATAAATCTAAAAGCAAATTCATTATGAAAGGTTTAACTTCATTTACTCAAGCTTTTTTTTATCTTGAAAATATCTTTCTGCCAAGAAAATCTTATTGTTACAAGGTTTAGTCCTATGAATACTTATGACCACAAATGCAAAGTTCAATTTGTTAATATGGAATTTAGAAGTGGAAAATAATTTTGGACCATTTAACATTGTACTTCTGCAATATTTCTTTAACTGAGGAATACCTACCAGAAGTTTTATTTTGGAATTTTGTTTTACAGAATCTAATCTTTCTAAACAGGAAGATATAGATATCTTCTGCTTTGGAATGTTTTTGCTAGGTGTTTTCCTAATGGGTTCCCAAGTTTCTTGTCTATAAAGTTACTAAATTTTATGTAGCCCTGGACACCTTGCCTCCAAAAACAGTGTCCTGTCATTCTTTGCAAAGTCCCTGCTCAGGGACTACCAACTCTATGAAACTGTCAATCCGGTGCTGTCTAGCACAGAGTCCCAGATAATGGCATAACTCATCCCATCAGCTGCTCTTCACTGCCATCCATTTCTGGTTTAACAGTTTTCAGGCCACCCGTGTACTTACAACCTTGGGGGTTTGCTGTCCTGCTGACTGCCGTGTGCAGCTTTGGCCTCATTTGGCCACTGTTGGCTGCCAGCCCAAGTGCTTTGCCCCTGCAGCCTCCGCTGTTTCACACTGTAGCTTTCAGCCCAATGCTTCTTGCCGAGTCCTTTGCCCCTGCACTGTTCAGCTGCAGCCCACCAGTTCCCTGAGTAGCCTTTTCTTGCTTCTCGCTTGCAAGAATTCCAAAAGGAGTGGAGTTGAGCATTAAGCGATTATAATTGAACAGGTATTACTCATTTTCTTACTGTGGCATTCCTAGCCAATCACAGCTGTATATTAAAACTGTCTTCAGTGCTATTTCAGAGTTGGCATTTAATTAAAATTTTAGGTTGATAACTACTGATTTTTCTAGTCTGCGTATTGGATATGCTACCAAAGGTCCTGCACTGAAGCAGCGAGGAATGGAGGAAAAAATTGGAGAGGAAGGAACCAGATTCTAACATAGAATCATGCTGCTCTTTTCCAAGAAGATGGACTCTCTAATTCCCTACCCACTTTCCTACCTATTCTCTGTTTTTTAGCAGAAGAGCCTGGTAACTCACTTCAAACAGGTAGAAATGGAAAGCCACTCTAAAAAACCTACTGCTTTTTTATTTTGAGTATAGTCTTGAAAGCTGTAGCCATTTCTCTTGCATAAAAGAACTATTAATTGTGTTGCATTGAAATCTGTTAAAAACCCAAAGATTTAAGAATATGCACTGAAATACATTTTTTGTTTTGCTTCTGCTTCCCGTTATTATTTTAGAATGACAAAAAAGATTCTGCAAGACATCTGTAAACAGCAGAAATTATACTTGACCCCATACTTAAATGATACGCTTTACTTGCATTATAAAGGTAAGATGTGGACATGACTGTTTAGATTTATCATTCTAAGTAGCATTTTAGCTGAGAATCTATTTCATGTCTCACTGAAGTAAGGTATCTAATAATTCTTTTAAATTAGAAACATAATTTAATTTTATATAATAATTAAATTGTAAAACAAAATGAGTTAATATGAAGGTAGAAAAGTGAACTGATTATAGACCAAATTCACTTTGTGGGGTCATTCAAAGGATCAATAGGAATCAAGGGATGCTTTTTTTTCCCCACCCAAAACCGTAGCCTCTGAGAATGGTCTTAAAATACTGGTCTGGGTTGCATTCAGAGGAAAATACATGTATTTCTTTTTAAATGTGTTTGTATAAAGAAGCTGTTTTTCAGCTTTGGGGACTTCTTTACTGCCAAATAAAAATGGTCAGGAAGAACATGAAGAGTAAAGACTTGCTGCATATTCTCAAATACTACTGAAAGAAAAAGAAGTTGCTAGAATGAACATGGATCATCCTCTTATCATCTTTGAGCAGGTTTTTGCATGATACGGTTAGCTGGTTCAGGTTAGCATAAGAATTGTTTTAAATAAATAGGACATGCTAAATCTACCTTCTACACTTGGCCTTGTTTTTGCTATTTTCTCAATATATATTACTTTAGCATCTAAAGGGCTGCACGAGATGCAGACCAGAATAGGTACCTCTATGGTTTTGCCCTTTATGGGCCAGGTACTGTACCATTAATTCAGTGAAAGTGTTGGCAGCAACTTGAGTACAAGTGTTCTAACAGGCTGTTTCAGCAGCACTGGTTTAATGAAATTTAGTCTTCCAAAGACTTGTTTTCAGCCAATGCGATTTCATTTTAGACCATCTTTTTCTGCAGGATTTGACCGCCTGGAGAATCTTGAAGAGTATACTGGATTGAAGTGTTTATGGCTGCAATGCAATGGCTTAACAAAAATCGAGAATTTGGAGGCTCTGACAGAGTTGCGTTGCCTCTACTTGCAACTCAATTTAATTAACAAAATTGAAAACCTTGAACCCCTACAAAAGCTGGATTCCCTCAATATCAGTAACAACTACGTCAAGACCATAGAGAATCTCTGTAAGAACTGTTGGTGCAACATGTTTTAACTTATAACGAGCCCATATTCCTAAGCTTTGACTAAGCTAAGCTATTATTAGCGGCACTAGTTTCAAGGGGTTTTTTATTCATGTTAGAATTTTGCACAATATCCCATATCAAAGTCCACAAGGCTTCTACTGAAGAGTCAAACCTATGTGTTTTGCAATTTAAATGAATGAGAAAACAGAAAAGACATAGTAATTACTTTCACGTGGATACCTAGGACAATTAAGTAGTTTTTCCTCACTTCTTAATACCATCTAAGTCCTTATCTGTGTTGCAGACAGGCTGGCAATCCAGTTTTCACCATTTGCTTTACAGTTATGATGTGCTTTGGCAGTTGCAGACATGATTACCAAATCTTTTATGTCTGTTAAAGGATTTATTCCATCTTCAGCAGAAAATAAAAAATAATTCCCCTACATTGTTATTTGTGTACATTGGGAGTAAGTTGAAACACAAGCTCTTGCTTTTGTGTAACTGACTAGTTTGAAACAAATTAGGAACAACCACCATCCTAAAAACAAACAACTATTTTTCCTGGGGTGAAGAAAGCAGCTTTGGAAGCCTAGCCAAAAAGCGCATGTAGCAAAACAACAAATTTAGAAAAAAGCTCCCACAATTCAATAGAAACAATTATTTTGACAATGCAGTTTTCTACTTCCTCCAGAAAACCCTCTGTGAAGCAATGACTCTTACCTTTCCTTTCATTGTACTGTTCTTGTCTGACAGCTTGTCTGAAAGTCCTGCAGACTCTGCAGATTGCTCACAATAAGTTACAAACAGTGGAAGACATACAGCACTTGCAAGAATGCCCAAGTATTTCTGTTCTCGATCTTTCCCACAATAATCTAAGCGATCCAAGTATTATAACTATTCTGGAGACCATGCCTAATTTGGTAAGCCGAATATAGCTGAGGGTTTGTATCATGTATACGGGTGAATCCCATTAAATGGTTTTGTCGGGTAGTCCAGTGCACAATAGGTCGTGGTCTAAAAGAAATGTTATTAAACATTATTTGTTTTTTGTAGATTATCTGTAACACCCAGGATGTTTCATTCACTTCTTGTTTTGGAAGTGATAGAGAATGTACATATCCAGATTGTGATTTTTCTGCTACTCAACTTTAAAAATTGTTTCCCTTGTTTCTCTAGCATGTGCTGAATTTGATGGGAAACGAAGTAATAAAGAAAATTGCTAATTATAGAAAAACACTTATTGTTCGACTAAAACTACTAACATATCTGGATGACAGACCCGTTTTCCCAAAGGATAGGTAAGAAACAGAGGCATCTTCTTTACACAGCAATAAAGCTCAAATGCTAATGATCACTCAACCATTTTTTTGACAATATTGTCATGGAAGGAAAGGAAGACTGACCAGTATAATTTATTGAGGGTGGGTGACTTTGAGTACAAGAGTACTATACTATGGAGTTCTACATCTAACATACCTAGGAAAAAACATGTATTTTTTCCGCAAGAGAATTAATTCTTGAACAGAATTGGTTTATGCCAAGTCTGTAGACCAGAGGCAAATCCTGATTTCAACAGAAACTGAACAGGTGTCTGGAAAAGCAGAGCCAAGATCGGAGGTCCTGGCAGACCTCTGGTGGTGTAATCACCAGCATTTGGATATCTTTGCTTCTTTTGTTGCAGTTCCACGTATAAGATATACGTGCATCCCTGTTGCATAAGGGATTGTCACTGCTATATGCTTTTTTTTGTCTTGGACCTATTTTATGCTGTTGCATGCTAGTTAAATCTCTCTCTCGTTATAAAGATGGGCTTTTATAGCTATACTACAGTGAGCTTTTGTGTTTTCATTAGAGCCTGTGCAGAAGCCTGGGCTGTTGGAGGGCTTGAAGCTGAGAAAGCAGAAAGGGAAAAATGGGAAACCAGAGAGAAAAAAAAAATCCAAGACAGCATTGATGCTTTAGCAGCAATCAGGCAAAAAGCAGAGGAAAAGAAAAGACAAACGTATATGGAAGAAAGAGATACAAGTGCAAAATGTGAAAATGGAGATGCAACAGACATCCTAGAAGGTTTGTGTTTACTATTTTGGAAGATGTCTGTGTCTGCTTCAATTTGAATGTTTAAAATAAATGAATAGTTTCTAAATGTTCAGAAGCAGGCTGATGCAATTTTTGGAATATATTTATGAATCTTCTTTTCCCATACTAAATACTTTATTAATGTTGGTGCATCTTAGATTAACCACAACGATTTTAAGCAATCATCACCTTTCTCACTGCTGATGAAACAAAAAAAAACCAAACCACTTTCTATCCGAGCGTTTCAAGCTCTTGTGCTCTTCACCAGAACAACCAGGTGCTAGTCAGGGCAGTAATGGTTCCAGCAGGCATTCATGGGTGGAGGCAGTTACACCCCAAAAGCAATATTTCCCAAGAAGTAGAACAGGGCTGGTTTCAATAGGCATGCGGTCTCCAGTAAGACCCAGTGATAACCGCCTCACCAGTCCCCATCCAGGCACCTCTCCACTGCTGCGTTCACTTAACAGCAAGAGCTTCAGCCTAGAGCCTACAGCAGTGGTAATACAGGCAGTAAGAGGAAGGTCTTTAATCATTTGCTTCACTTACTGTCCTTTTTCATGCCACAAATTCTCCTGTTACATTATTCAAGGAGGCATACATTTACGACCAGTAAAAGGTCCCCACCTAACCTTTCTAGAGAAGTATGCATGTTTCATGATAAACAGGACTTGAAGCCAAATAAGAAGGCAGTACTACAGTGCAGAGGAGTGTTTATCTATCTACCTGATGCATTTTTGGGTTTCACAGGCTCTGAAATCAAACACGGTTGACTAACAAAACTTTTTCTGCAAGCAGGTAGGTTGCATAAAGGAGAGGATAACTTCAGCATTTGTCACTGATCCATCAAAATGCTCAAGCATATATTTAAATATGTAGTCACTTGTGAGGCTTTTCAAAGTTAACTATAGATACCAGACAATTATTTACTGTAGTGTTTTCTCTAGGTGAGTTTTTTGCTGGGGAACTGTATTTCCTAGGGAGTTGAGGTGGGAAAACTCACAACATTGCTGCAGTCTAACAAAGGAGGAGCTTTTGATGCATATTTTAGGCCAAACTATTAAGACCATGTAAAGTTTGGATATTTAGAATGAGTAATGGTAGATTAACTCAGCAGTTTTAATGAACTTGTTTCTTCTGTAGGAGCACCTGCAAATTCAGATGACAGTGCTGGAAATTCTAAATCATCAGAGACTTCAAATGTATCAGAAGAGGAAGAAACTCAAGAGAAGACTGAGAAATTTAGAAATGAAAGTTTTGATACTCGTGATGAAGTGATAACACTTCTACCAAATAGGGGAGGAAACATGGATTTCACATCTGGAAATATTCCTGCTAGAATTCAAGAGGATGCACAAGAATCAAACTCTTACAAATGCTCAAACTTCAACAAGAAGACAGAGGGTAATGTACACAGTGAAGAATCAAACCAAACTCAGGATGCAGAGACGATGAGCCAAACTCTTAGTGTAGCACTGCCTCTGCCGTGATTCAAGCCAACTGATTCAGAGATAAGAACACCCCATTAGATTTCCACAGTGACTAGTTGAAAATCAAGTAATACTGGATAAAATATTCTTTAAATACAACAAACAAAAAAAATTCCGAGGGCTCTACCTGCAACTTCTGCTACATAAAGGTGGAATTCCACTTCTCATACGTGCCAGGTTTAGTGACAGGACAGGAGAGCTTACAGGCTTCCCTTGCTCCCACATAAACTGTGCGGTCTGTCTGCCAGCAGAAGCTGGACATCACCCTGGAGGTGGTTTTGTGCCTTCACACATGGAAGAATGCTTTTGTAGATTTGTGGAATACATTATTGCAAAAAGGCAAATATTAATTTATACAATATAAGAGAGACCAAGAATATGATGGAAAGACAAAGAGCTGGATTCAGCCGTGAATTCTGCAATGGTAGTCAGGTCCCCAGCGGTTTGGTTTTGCAGTGCTTGCTGTTGCAATATAGAAAGTCTTTCATTCAGTTAGTTCTCTGCAACTGACTATTGTTTATTCTTTAGTTCTACCAAGAGAGAAGGCAGCTACTGAAAAGGCCATGCTTCCTGAACTGGATAAATATGCTGAAATTGAACAGATCAAACTGGAAACACCAGAGAAACTTTATCTTGACGTATGTATTGGATTCAGATTTTGGGAAGTTCAGATTTGGGTATTGTCTTCTCCCAAATTAATTCTTGTAACATCCTGGCTAATAAAACTATATGGCCAGGTTTCTAAGAGAGGTCTACTATGAGGAAAAGTAAAAGGAAAGAAAGAAAAAAACCCAAAAAGTAAAGTTGTAGGGATATTCATTCTCTCCAGTGTAGCATGTGTAAAGAATTTACCACCGCTTCCGAAGTTTATTTTGTCCTTTGGCCATAGATCACCTGAAGTTGACCTTCTACCTCTGTGATTTCTCTGGAGAAGTTAATGAGGGCTCTCATTTAAAAAACAGAAATCAAACAAAAAGAAGCTAGTGGATACATGCGTCCTTTTAGGCAAAACTCAAATGAAATATGCAGTTGAAAATATGAAGTATTGCAGAAAACGCATAAGGAAGAAGTAGGTACCCACTCATTGTAAATGTTAGCTAGCGGTATTAGATATTATAAATTAATTCTCAAAATACAACTTTTAGATATATTTCCAAGAAAAGTAGACTGTGCATTATTCAGGTATATAATAAGCGATTGACATTTGTAATATGGTCTTCTATTATCTAAGATTTCTATCTGATGATGCAAACATTTAAAAATGTTTAACCACGTTTAACCATGAGGAGGACATGGATACCACTGAAAAACACAATCTCACTTCAAAGGAGAACTGTTCAATATGTCCTAATTATGACACTGCTGCTAAACTGACAGTGTCAGATTATGACATAACTAGCGATAACAGATTTCTGAGCTTATGATTTCCCAGAGCACTTAATATACTCTTTGATCCTTTATACTGCCACTGTTAACTAAATTCTTACTGGAATGTTTTAGAAAAGTCTCTTCTATCTTTTCTGTGCTCTTAATTTCTCAGGAAAAAATTCCATCCTGTTATCAAAGGGCTCAACTCACTGTTTCAGTAGAGGGCTTACTGCTGCATCCTCCTGTTTGGCTGTTTTTAATAATAGGTTTAAGAAGGATAGTGGAGAGAACTGGCAGCAATTCCAAGTATATACAATATTACTTTTATAAGCAGATCTTGCAGGATCTGAAATAAAAGTTTTAAATAAATAGAGATACTATAGGTACCCACAATGTGAAGATCCTATAGATTAGTGTTTGTTTTTCCCTTGGTGCTATATGGCACCATAGCACGCTCCTTTGCACGAACTTTAATGTAGTGCAAAAGGAACTCTTCAGCATACGTGCATGGGGTTTCTTTTGACACGTAAAAAGTGTGACTATTCTAATTCTACAGAAGAAAAAACAAACCCAAATCACATACTAACACACATTTCAGTGGTCTATGCTACTTCATTCTCCAACTGATGTTTAGTGATGGAAAGAGCTTCTTGCAACAACCTCCAATACTTACGCTATTGCAGATTTTCCAGAGAGACTTAGCGCTGACATAGCAGGGAATGGCTGTGGAGATGCCAATGGTGAGAAGCTCCGGAGCAGCACCGTCGTCTTTACTCATAATCTGGAATCAGTAAATGGTCTCAGTAGTAATATAAGGGAGATGAGTGGAGGAGGATTTGTAATGTGGTGGTTATGACATCCCTCTGTCAAGCAGAAACAAGCCCATGTTGCTGCACATGCCTTGGCGGTGTTTGAACTACATTCTGTGTACCCAAGCCAGGATAACTTTTAGTGAGCGATTTGGGTTTGATTGGCAAATGCACCCTGCTGATTGGAACAAGACTAACAGCTATTTCACCTCCGTATTGACATCAGATTCCACCCGCTAACGTTAGTCTCAAATCTTAATTTGTACATTTAAAATTATATTCTTATAAAACCATGTGTCTTCAGGACATGCTGCACTAGCTACAACCATATCAGGAAACAGAAATTTCCTCTGTTGATTTTAATTCTGTAATAATCTTCACCGTGCAAGTACAGATTAGACATTCCTGATGCTACCACGCCAAGCAGCCTGCTACAAAATCATTAAGCTCTAAAAGCCTAAAAAGGAGATGCTTTTTCCAGTATTGAGCTACATTAAGGAATTGGCAAAAAGGTATTACTTTCTACCTGTGATTTTGTATGTCCACCCTCTATTTTTGCTTTCATGTCAGCAAATGGCAGTTGTCTTAGGTAACATTTTCTAATGGAAAGTTGAAATTATTGGACCTGTCTGAGGAAAAACAGTTCTCAGCAAGTTTCCAGTTCTGTATCCTTAATTATGAGGCATTCACAGTAAAACATTGTTTTATTAGATGTGTTTAGGTTAACAGAGTTTACTGATAAACAGTTTCAGGTAGACTGCAGATCTTGATTTGGCTCTTACCCGTAAAGATGGGTTGCAGATGAGATTAAGTCTATTGAATAGATAGGAAACAGCTAATAGACATAAACCATGTTTGCTTTTAAAATCCTGTTAATGCCTGGCTATTTATTCTTGTATCTTCTTTTTTTTTTTTTCCTTCATAATCATACAGTATAGTAGAAAACAGCATTTGGTCTGACATTAAGGTTATTGCCTTCCCATCTGCTGTTTCTGGAGACAAATGAATTTTCCTTTTCCCACATGTGCTTAACAGAGGACACTATCATCTCTGGGAGGATGACAGTGCAGTGCTCCTGGCTGTGGCCTCTCACCCTGAAAAGCATACCATTGCTTTGAAGAAGATTCCCAATGAGATAGAGATGTCATATTTTATTGGTTAGAGTAGCTTTCCCCACTGATTAATGATCTTGTGATTGTCCTCAGGAACTGCCTGATTTAGAAGATGTAGATGTAAATGAATTTCCCCCAGAAGAGGAAGTCTTTGTTCAAAAGGTAAGATTCTTATTAAACTCCAGTGATGAAGCTTACCTAAACACATTTACAAATGTTTTGCAAAATGAGGATAATCTAAGTTGTGAAATGCTGTTTTGGGAGATGCAATCAGTTATGCATTTATTAACTAAAACAGACTTTTCAGCAGATCTTCTCTGTCCACTTGTAGATATTTTTTTAATTTGATTTTTTATATTATTTAGTTGCAAAAATAGGAGAATGAAAAACTAAGATCAAGTAGTGCAACAGTTAAATAAGGTTAATTTCTTAGTAGCATGTAGTGTTTTAATGAAGATTACTCTTAATATATACTTTACCAGTACTAATATGCTGCAAAGGACTGGATAGATAGAACAAATTGCCTGCCACTGAATAAAATCAGACTCTTCAACTGACAACACAGAGAGACTGAAACTCCTCTGCTCCACTTGGGCTAGTCGGATACAAGGCAGTTCATGCCCACATTAGCGTTGTGCTGTGCTCAAACTGATCTTCTAGGCAAAAGCCTATAAACAGAGACAGAAGGGAAAAAAGAAAAAGAAAACAACAGCGATTAATAGCAGAGCTTTGATTCGAGTGCTGATGTTGACTTGTACTTGCCTTGCTGGAGACAGAGGCTGATAGAGTACATGTTTTTACAAGTCCCTCCAAGATAATGCAAACTTTTCCTACAGTCAGCATAAGGCATGGAATTTATTTGCCCTTTTGGTCACAGACTCATAAGAGCGTTGCAAAATGTCTTGGCCAACAAAGCCTCCAATTAAAAGAAGATAAGGGAAGGGAACAAAGATGATTATGGAAGGAGTAAGTGTTAGCAGCTCTTGTGCGCCGAAGGGTGTTCAGTTCTTAACTGAGGTCAGATGAAGATGCTAGTCAGGCCCCTCTGTTTGGAGGTAAAGTAATAGAACTGAGCCCACACATTGCTGAATTGCTGAAATAGGTCTTTTTTTTTTTATGAACTGTTAATAGTTTAAGGTCAGTTCATCGCTAATGCCTGAGAAATGCCCAAAGCAGCAGAGCCATGGGTATGAAGCACATGTTCCATACATTCTGGGAGAACAGCACAGCAAAGCTGCCAGCTGTTGTGTGGATCCAAGAGATAGTTACCCATCTTTTAGCTTTTACATCCAGAGTAATTTATTTCCAATTACATTTTCTACCTTTTC